TATCATTGCTAATAGCTGTTTCTGTTTCTATACTGCATAAATCATCTCTCTAGCCATTAATCAAGTGGATGGAGTTCCACAGAGAAGGGACCCTTCTATCATGTTTCTTCAGCCATTCCTATTAGACCTATTGTCTTCAAAAATGCCTTTTTTTGGAATAAAACAGTCCTCAGTGTAATGGTGGCCAAAGAGCAGAGAGAAAAACCTCAAAGATTGTTCACATTCTGGAATGCCAGCAAACTTTTTCCCTGTGCTATTAATTCATGAGAGAAAGAAGCCATTTACATGCATGTTTATCTGTAGTACATATTGCTCCTGTAAATGAAGCATTTCTCTGTCAAGCATCTTCCAAGTAGTCTAAAAAGAGGCAATTTATTTGTTCTGTGCAGTTAAGTAATTGAAGAAACGAGAGGAGGAATAATAACATGAGTTTGGTAGTTCACATAAACATAAAATTTCAAGCTGTAATGATGCTTCAAAATTATTATTGTGCATTTTGAATCATGTATCAATAGCAAGTAATTCAGCTGGCTCTCTTTTGAAACTCTCTGTGCAGCCTGTGTCCTGATTTTCTTCAATTTCTCTCAATGAAATTGATGTCCTGATAGACATGCTCTCTAGCTTTTCGTTGCAGCTAAACACAAAACGAACAGATCATTGAAAATACAGCTGGAAAAGCCTCAAGAAGTTGCCTAACCTAATTTCTTTCCAAGGGAGGCCCTGCTTACCTAAGGAATTAATTTAGATATTTATACAGTCTGCTTCTAATGAAATCCAGAAATAAGAATATTGCAATCTGTCTGGAGATGATACTTCTTGCTAGGATGCTTTATTACTGATGCCTTTATAATTATCTGAAATGCCTCTTGCTGAGATTTAAATATTATTTTTTTTTATTTTAGCCACAGCAGATGTAAACATGAATGTACAACTTTCCTTTTGACAGACATATTTTATATTTTTAAAAGACAGTAATGTGTGGATTGTAATTTAAAAGACGGTTATGCGAGGGAGTAAGTACTCTTTCTTTCATTTTCTACAGGCTTCCTACTCAGAATGTAACAGAGATTTGGAAAATCCTACAGATTAAGATATCAAACACCAGAGGGAGAAACACAGCTAAGATACCAAAAAAACCAAAACCAAAACACAACCCCCCCAAAAACTCCCAACCTCAAGTGAAAATACTTTTGTGTTATGCTGTTCTTTTCTAATTGACCACATAAATGATGGAAAAAAAAGTTGCCCAACAGCAAGTTTCACCTTTGTATTTTTTTTTCTGTTTCTTCTCAGGTTTGCTGCTAAATACAAACAGCAATTTTTCATGCTTCCTCAAGCCTTACGGAATGATTTAGGTTGATATGTTAATTGACCGCAATTAATTTTATCATGAGAGCTCTCCATTCAGGCCACTAAATAAACAACATACTTAAAGCATTTTTGCCGGAGATCCTACTTATAAAACATGTCATTTGCTTCACCTAATTATAAATATTTAAAAGTTACATCTCTCAGTTTATGCTAGTCTCCCCTTTTTTGTAGTCACTGAAGAGAAATAGGCATCTAAGGTGGTAATTTTTATCTTAGAATTAGACAAGTCATCCTACTGCAGTTTTTCTTTCTCTCTGATGAATATAAGGATGACTAGTTCAGACTTTGACAGGTAACCTGCCTACCTTGCATAAATAAATTTGACCTAAGAGTAGAAGAGAAATATGGGCACAAAGTAAATTAAATTTAATGAGACTTTTCAACCAGCCAAGACAGAATCAAAAGGGGATTTTCCCCAAAATATGCTACAGTTCAATTTCAGAGGCAAGAATAAGGACCAGTTCTCCAGAGAGTCATCATTTTGTAATATAGAGACATAATGAATTGTAAATCCCTGGCAGTATAATTAGTTGTTTCTCCAGAGTAAAAAAGTGAGGCAGGATGAAGTGAGATGAGAAATAGATGCTAGTGCTAAGTATAAGATTTCATAAGCAGTTGCCACAAAGAAAACCACCAAAATCAGAAAATGAAAAACAGAAAGTGACTGGGAGAATAAGACAAATGTTTTCTAAGCATCTTATTTGTCTCAAATATTTTTTCATCTATTACATTGGCTTCCTTCATTGCTGATTAGAGAAGAGAAATCTTGTAACCCTCAATAAAATAGATTATCAGAACAATGTACTAGCTGAAAGTTATGGTCTGGAATACACAAAGCAAGACCTTCAATGCTCATATCCTATCCCTCTTGTAAATAACAGTAGCGATTATCTCAAAATCAGAGTGACCTTTTCTTTGTGTTCTGTTGGAGAAGGAAATTGTTCATTTCAACTCCAAAGAGGTTAATGGTGTGCAAATATTTTCCCAGCCGAAAGCAGGCAGGTTGTATTTCTGTATTTTCTCTGTATAAACAACATCTTGTCTACATGTGTAAGCTGTGTCCAGCCCCCCATTACTGTCAGTGAAGAGCTTGATTCAGTTGTGATAACAAAGTTGTCAAGTGACACTGGAGATGCTCTAGGATGTCTGAGTCATCCGTGTTGTGACTCACTGGCAGCCCCAAGGGACCCACAGAAAACCAAAAACCAACCTGCTGTGGTAGGTGCTAGAAGGTGTATCCTAATGTACTGTCCTCCACCTGGGGAGTGGAACAGCTCCTTAGACTCCGCAGAATTGCCCAGACTTCACAGACTGTAATGAATGTTTAGATACTTTGCACACATATAGATATCTATATTTAGACAATTAAATTGGTGTGTTTTAACGTACAAAATGAGGTCCACCTCTAAGGAGGAATAACTCAACTCATAAGTGTATAAAAAGTGCCTAGGATGCTCAGCATGCAGAGGATGAACAAACATACATGTTTGTAACAAGAACGTTCCAAATTGCTTGAAAGACAGAGACAAATCTCTATTTTTCCCAAGAAAAGTTTGGGTTTTTTTAAAAAACGAGGCTCACTGTGAATACCATTCACATAATCTCTTGGCAGCTGGATTACAGTCAATCACCAACCACATTATTTGACTGCCACCCAGACTCAGATCATTCCCCTGTGAACCAGTTTATCAAATATCTAAGAGGCTGCTGAGGTAATCCACACTAATTTTCTACCAACAGTTCCTCACTTCAGTAGAAAAAGGGTTATGAGGAAAGACACACACAAATTTTGCTTAAAATTTCTTTCCTGCTCCTTCTGGCAATGGATCCATTTGCCTTTTTTTTTCCTGTTTCTAAGCAAGCATTGCAGGATCTAATGTTTTAATCTGTAGAAGAACATGAGTATTTCTTGAGTTTATTTGAGGACTTAATTTGGTGGAAGGAGAGAATTCTGGCAAGTTTCTTCCTCCTATTTAATGATTCTTTAAGAGCTGGAGTTCTTAAGGTAAATATACATAACTATAAGTAACTTAGACTTCCATCACAGGCAGCTTCTACTTTATATTAGTCAAGGCTCACTCTAATTTCAATTAATATTTTTTAATTTTTTCATACACACCAAATTTATGGAAATATGACCAGGAAGTTACTTAAGAAGATTAGGTGATGATATCACTCATTGTATCATTTAATACATAAGTTGATGAATGGTATCCATATGCATAAAACTAGAAGCTCAGAGTTTCAGATTTGTGACTGTCATGACCCTAACACAGTCCTGGAAGAACGAGAGGAGCAAGGAACTGCCACATGTGGGATGCCTCATTGGTAGGGGTCACTGTGCACAAGGCATCACTGCAACGTGTGTTTCTCCTTTATCAGACCCTAAAAAGTTAACTTTTCTTTTTATATATATGTATATTCACATTGGAAAACTTCTTTCTGGTTTCTACAGGTAAAGAAATATAGACTATAATTATTATTAGTGTGAGGACTGCATAAAGGAAGCTGAGAGCTTGCCTACTGCTCTTCTTAAAATAGATACCAAATCACTGTCATTGGCATCCCTTTTGTTTGTGCAGTAGCTACAGGGCTGTAATATTCTCTTCCCGTTGGCAGTTCTTAAGCAGTACATAAGAGAATAAGATCACAGCTTACACAGAGAACAGCATGAACATCTGCTGATGATCTGATACATATAGGAGGGAAAATGGAGACAAAAGAAGGATTTAGCTTGCTCTAAGAACAGCAAAGACTGATTTCATTTTCTGAAAAATTAGGGCACAGTAGGAATTCAACTGCTGTTATTTGCATATTGAGTAAGGAAGAGAGGGAAGCTCAATTAAATGACTCCTTCAAATTTATCTTGAGGCTGGTTTTTATTCTAAAATAAATGTTTATACTTTGCGATATTCCTGTTGGGTCAGGGTTGCATTGATGTTTAGATTTGTTGAGATGGAAATTGCACTAATTAGGATTTATGAAAGTAACTATGTGTGGTCCTAAAGAGATGTGCAGGAAAGCCTAGCGTTGGCCAATGGTAGGAAAACAAAGATAAATTCAAATAAAGGTAAGTTTTTATAATGACAGCAACTAATCTGCGAGTTTACTATTCTCTTCCCTCACTCCAGCTTCCCTTTGAACACAGCAGAGGCTTCTTCAGGTTTTGAAGAGATGATCTGCAAAATAGAGCCTTTCCAAGACACCAAGAACTCTTTGGCCCCTTGTTAAAGTGATTGAATGAAATTATGGGGCTAAGCAGAAGTGGGTAAATGAGACTAGCTTATGATCTTTCTTATCCTTAAACCACTGTAAATTAAGTTTTTGGATTTAGGTGTAAGTCCTTCATATTTCATTGGCAGCAGCATGACTGAGTTCATTTTCCAGGAGCTTTCTGTAAATTTGAGCCCCTGCCCAGAAATCTGGAAACTAAATCGGACTCCCTGAATACTTAGAGATCTCCACTCCCAAATTATGAATCAACTCTCTTACCAACACTTCTTTGAGGGAACTGGGACAAAAGAAGGAGTGAGAAAAGAGTGCATACAGGAAGGAACTACCCCTTTCCTAGAATACGGCAGCAATAATTTAAAACTGTTTAATTTTCTGATAAGTTGGACTCCCTGAATACTTAGAGATCTCCACTCCCAAATTATGAATCAACTCTCTTACCAACACTTCTTTGAGGGAACTGGGACAAAAGAAGGAGTGAGAAAAGAGTGCATACAGGAAGGAACTACCCCTTTCCTAGAATACGGCAGCAATAATTTAAAACTGTTTAATTTTCTGATAAGTAGAAGAGGAATTGACTAACCTCCACCTCCTTCATAACGCCTTCTGCAGGTTGTTGTGCCAAATTCTGGAAGAGGTCTCTTACTGGTCTTCAGATGATCAGGACCTCATTGAGCTGCATGTGACCCTGTAGCCTGCTAAACAACTGCAATTAACCAATCCTCTTTGTAAGCTTTCTCAGTAGCCACTGATTGCCATCAGCTGCCTCTCATCATCTCCACTGCTTAGCAGAAATACAACAGACTATGTACCTTAGAACAGAACCTCCCTTTCCCCTACCTCTGATTTAGGGTTTCAGTACCCTAAGGTTACAAGCACTTTAATTCAGTTAGTTTGACTAGATCCATGCAAGGCTGGTTGGTTTGTTCAGACTTATAACAATAACTATTTTGTAAGTGGGAAGTGTCGCTGAGTTTTGAGGACTAATATCTGCAACATACAATAAAATATGAAACACAAATAAACTATTTTTCAAACATTCCAAATAGTCCTGTTCAGCTACTTTTATCTCCATTGAGGGCCAGTAACCACTACTGCTGTTCAAAGCAGAGTTCAAGGCTTCTCTCGAGCCTTGTGGGAGGTACTGATCTGTTCTTTCAAGCCTCAGTAACCAGAGTGACACTTCCCTTGCATGTTATGTTCAAAAAAACAAGAAAAAGGAGGAGGAAAAAAGGGAAAGAAATTATTCTATTCTGTTGCATATGAAAAATGTTTTAGGAAATTAATAATCTTTTCAAGTCAAAATAGGAAAGACACCATCAGTACATCAAACAGGAGAGTTAAGTTACATTTCACATTACAAAATCCTTCCCATGAAGCATAAAATGAAAAATAATTGTCTTTGATTCCACAAATCAGAGTTTGACCTGGGCAATATGTGCATGACTGAACCCTGAGACATTAAAATACAACTGAAGAACATCTAGTTGTCAAGACTTTCAGAAGTTAAACCTTCAGAGAAAGGATAATCTAGTAGATAGTATATAACATTAAGATTCAGGAGACTGGCTCAGCCCTTCCATCCACAGCACACTTCTTGTGTGAAACTTAATAAATCACTTTGGGTCAGATCTGTGAAGGTGAGTAATGTGTCACAGTGGTACTTGTTACAGTGTCTTTAGTGATGAGCAGAATTCACGGGCATCCATGCTGGGGCTGCAGGAGGAGGAGAGCTGGAACAGCCAGTTCAGTCCACAGGAAACCATGCAGGCTGGGTAATTAGTCGTGGAAAAGAGTGTGTGTCTTGAATTCTGCAGCTCTGGAAGATTTCAGCACTTTATTCTGAACTGTGGGGAGCTGCCTTTCCTTTGTAGTGAATTCACAGCTTTATGCATGCTCCTGGAATTAAATAAATTAGCGTCTTGTTTACATTAAAAAGCCAAAACATACCAATAAACAACCCCCACCACCACCACCAAAATACACAGAAATATTTTCTTCCAGGGAGGAAGTGCTGCTGCCCTTTACCTGGGAGGATGCTCAGCAGAACCTCCTCCTTGATGGTGAGAAATCCAAGTATACTTCCAGAGATCAAACCTCCGTGTGTGCAGAGGGTACTCCAGCCAAAAGCTGCTGTGGACTTGTCTAGTACAGGGGAAGCAGATGTTTTCACTCTCTCCTTAAGCTGTCCCACTTTGCATGAAATAATTCAATATGAATTGGACCACTGAGAGAGAGAGAGATTAGTAAATGTAATTTTGAACCCCAGAGGCTAGTCACTTACTTGAGGGAAGGGAGCTAGACTTCAGTCCCACTTCCAATTAATACACATAATATATGCATTCATCAGAGCATGGTGTAAATGCAGCCCCCTGTCTCCTGGGTGTATCAGCTAACTGCAAATCCTATTCCTTTCTCAAGCTCAGGTAACTGATAATTAGCATGCAGAACAGACAAAAAAGACTAGCAGGAGAATTATAGAACCCCACCAGACTGCAACCTAATGCTTAGGACAGGTTTATGTGGGTTTATCTCTCCTTGGCTGAGGCAGACTTAAAATCTCTGACCATGAGTTAAGGGATAAAGAGAAAAAAACCAAAATGCTTCAATTTGCTGAGCCTGCAATTGATGCAAAAGCTTTCTGTATGTCTCTTAACTGGATTCAGAGATATGATTGGTTTTTAAATCCTGACAGAGCATAAATATGAATTACATGCTTAGCTGCTCAGTGCCATCAAAATGTACACGGTTCTGGGCATACCCCAAAGGAAATATTTATCTGCTTATGGAAGTTGACTGGTGGAAATGCAATCACTTAAGGAACCGTTTCTGTTAATGTGAAGGCTGCCATTGATCACTGCCCGCTGCTTTCTTCCTGCAGTAAAGCCTGACAGCTCAGGAACCAGATGACTGGCTGACTTTGAATGTGACATGTGGGTTTTATATGACAAAGAGTAGACGTTTATAGCGTAGATATCTGTATATGACCCAGTATCTTTGGCTCCCTCAATAAACAGTGGAGATTAAGTCCATAAAGTCAGTGGATCGTATGACCAACTCACTCCTTGCCAAATAATTACCTAAAATAGATTAAAGAAAACATGTCCTAAATTAACTACCTATCTCCATTAACTATTAAGGAAGCCAAATAGAACTTTTGAAAAAGAAAACACAATTTTCACGTGAGTTCTAGCCACCAGTTCCCAGCAAGTCCTGCTCAGTATTTTGGCATGGTGCTGTCATTCACATCTCAGCACAGAAGCTGCGTAACATTGTGGTTTGAACTTATCAGTATATTATAGAATCAGCAAGTGGCTGCTGGTAACAAGTTTGGATATTATGAAGAGTTACCACCGACTGGCAGGGAGCTGCTGCTTCTTAGGGGAAAACTGAAAGGGACTCTGAAACTTCATTAACTCACACCACAACTGGTAAGTAGCTTATGTACGGTCAACCACCACTTCTTGGCTAAAGGGCAATATCTTACACTTTCTCATCTTCATGTCCCAGGAAAAAAAGCTATAAAAAGGAACAGGAGAACAGAATTTAGACTTCTGTCCTAGAAATTAGGAACATTAATTTAGCTAAGTCTATTTCTTCTTTGTTATACAGCCCTGTAGCATATCAAAGGTGGTTTAGAAGAGAGTCTAATGAGTATTAAGGCATCATGTGATGGTCCAATGCTTTCAGGTGTCAGGAAAATGAATATGGCCTTGAAGTTACTGTCGGACAGCTCTTTAAAATAGCCCAGCTACTACTGCCAAAGAGCTATTATATGTTATTCATTTTAAGAGTGATGGAGCTCAATTAAAGACCTTGATATATTCCTCCTGCTTTTCACAGTCTGTCACCAGTATGTTCCTCCACATCCATTTACCTAATTTTTTTAAAAAAGAGAGACCTTGCCCTTATGGTTCTGAGTGAATATTAAAATGTTCTGCTGTCTGGTTTCAAGCAATCTTCACAGACAAAAACCATAGCAGAAAATGCCGTGTGGCTAAAAAAGCCACAGCATTTTATTAAATGAACACAAAATACTTTGTAGGTTTGACCATTTGTTTGCAGCAACTGTTCATTTGAATTATTATCCCTCAGATGTTACTAAATGTAATATAGTTTTAGAGGAAATCTCCCAATCCTTAATTTTATCTTTCTTCATTTAGCCTTTAAAAGCTATGATTGAATTGTCCAGACTCTAAAATTTTAAGAACTGAGACTGAAAGGAAATGTCTTCCTGGAAAAAGAGGGACAGATCACTAATTGCAGGAGTTACGACTGAAAGGAAATGTCTTCCTGGAAAAAGAAATTAATTGCAGGAGTTATGGTGTTTATTCTTAGGTATGAAATCCATGTCCTCTAACTTAAGGCTCCAGACTAAGGCACCTAAATTTATGTCTTGCAATCTAGACTTCCATACATAAGTTAGGTGCCTGAGCTCATCTCCAGGTACCTATATATAGACACCTATTGTGATTATCACAGGGTATCCAAAACATCTATATGGAATTGGAGGGTATAACAGAGAACCTATGTGCAACCTGTTGTCTTCTGGAAGGCAGGCAAAACCCTTTAAGACATCTCAGATGGCACTAGGCATTTTTGTGTGAGCAACTGAGATACTTAGGGAAGTGATCGTCCCGCTGTGCACTGCATTGGTGGGTCTGTATCTCAAATTCAGTTTTGGCCCCTCACTACAAGAAGGACATTGAGATTCTGGAGCATGTCCAGAGAAGGGTAACAAAGCTGGTGAGGGGTCTGGAGAACAAGTCTTATGAGGAGAGGCTGAGGGAGCTGGGGTTGTTCAGCCTGGAGAAAAGGAGGCTGAGGGGAGACCTTATAGCTCTCTACAATACAACTACCTGAAAGGAAGTTGTCGTGAGGTCAGAGTTGGCCTCTTCTTCCAAAAAACAAGTGGTAGGACAAGAGGTAATGGCCTCATGTTGCACCAGGGGAGGTTTAGATTGGATATTAGGGAAAATTTCTTCACTGAAAGGGTTGTCAAGCATTGGAACAGGCTTCCTAGGGAAGTGGTTGAGTCGCCATCCCTGGCGGTATTTAAAAGATGAGTGGATATGATGCTGAGGGACATGGTTTTGTGATGGACTTGGAAGTTATGTTAATGGTTGGCTTGATGATCTTAAAGGTCATTTTCAACCTCAAGGATTCTATGATTCTATGAACCCCCAAATTGGGTGGGATGAACCATCCTCTGGAGATGTTACTGGACAGCTTAGACTGAATCTCTGTTATGAGTAGAGAACATGAATCTCACAATAAATTTCCTTAGTCTTATATCTCAGATGGTTTACATGTACTATGCAAAGAAGAAAAGTTGAAAAATTTATGTATAGAGAATTTGGTTACATAGATTTTGTAGAGATCAAGAACAGAGTTTCTGTACTGGAGATTCATTAACACTTTCTAAGATCCTATTTTCAATTTCTCACAAGACTGAGTATTCCAGAAACTCTCTGCTCTGTTCTTTAGAAATCTTTATCTAATTTTCAGATTAAATTCACATGGGAAACTGTATCTGTAGATAATTTCTTGAACATGGAGTTTAGAGACTGCAGAGGAAGCCTGCAATGCTACCCCTTTTTAGGATACAGTTTTTTCTTGAGAGACTTAATTGTTTTAAAACATTCAGAATGTTCACCTAAAGTGAATTGACATACCTAGCTCTATGTCCTTGGCAGTGATGTCCAGCTAAGGGTCTGTCTCTCCCATAGAATTAAACATCTTAATATATAAGCATCTTAAGGATCTCCTTGAAAAAAAGCCAAGCAAAATCAGATTTATTAAAAGGCACCATTTCAGTAAAACATTGAAGCTGCAGTATGTTCTCATTGCATTAAATCACAAAGTAACATATAGTTAAATAATCTGTTTTTATCAGCCAACACTACTTCATGGGTAAATGAATACCACTTGGATTTTAAAAGACACGATAAAATGCTTCTAGGTAATCTAATTAATTTCCTTATTAAAACTGCTGCTTCTAACTTATGCATATTTATTAGCCTCCCTTGAGTATTAAACTATGTTCATGAAATCTTAATTCCATTTCTCACATTACACAAACAGACAGAGTAATGATCCTCGGTATCCAAAGCAACTATCAAGGGGTTATAGCTAACATACAGCTTATTTTTGACTCACTGTACAGCACACACTAAAAGTCCTTTTCCTTTCCTCTCTGCTGAAAAATATAGTATGAATATGTACTCACTCTCTCTCACTGTCTTTATTTTTCACTGTACAGCACACACTAAAAGTCCTTTTCCTTTCCTCTCTGCTGAAAAATATAGTATAAGCACGTACTCTCTCTCTCACTGTCTTTATTTTTGTTTCTCCAACCAGACTATTCTGTTTACTAAGGAATTTATAGTTATCTGTGTAAAACTAATTAACATTAAAGGAGCATCTCTTCTGAGTGGTACACACTTGTGAGTTTGTTTCTTCACATTTGTACAGAAAAATGCATCTCCATGCTTTTGGAAGAACATCTTCTGAAATTCACCTAAAGGAACAATTTTCATGAGCTTTACTTAGCTTTGGGTTGTGTCTTCATGTACAAAACTATCTGACATTTTGCTATTAATTTAAGAGAACATACAAAATCCTGGTGAAAGTAACTTTCTTTTGCAAGAGGTATGGAACAGATATTAAACTCCTTCCTCCATATTTTCTCTATCAAAGACATATTGTCCAAAGGATCAGATGTCTGTCTCTGAAATAAGCTGGTCACCCTCTGCTCTCCCCTGTCACTGGAACCATTTTCCTCCAGAGATTGCTCATCTGATGAATCTTTGTATGGTTCCCTGGAAGTGTTTGTTTCCTTCTATGGATGTCAAAGGCAGCAACTATCTTAAAATTTGACATGTACCTTTCAAGGGATTAAATTAGGGCACATGGATCATATCCTGAACTATTCTTCTCTCTTGTGTTATGAGTTAAGGGGAGCATAACTCTTCACAGCAGCATCCAGTAAGCTACACACTTTCATTGCACCTTTGCACATGCAAACCAGTGCTCTTTTATCTTTTTGTAATGGGTATGCTTGGTGTTAAGAAATACCCAAATACAACACCCCCACCTTCACCTCCCAAAACAAAAAACCAACCAAAACCAAAACTTGGTTAAAGACAGAGATCTGATTTTCCCCACTTAGTAAACAAAGGCTTCATTTCAGCTCATGTCCTTATCTCCTTAAGATTTGGGACTCTA